AAATTTCCATATACGCTTCATTTTCATATAGTAGATATGTACACATCAGTCAATCACGAAACTTGAACAAGATTTATAAGAAGTTAGGGAAAACGTTCGGGAATGGTTCTCTTCTAACTCCTCCAAAATGGAACTTCAAATTTACTTTCAAAGAAAAGGTTATGGAAGGACCGCAAGCGGTGCGTTCCTCAAGGCATTACACCAGCATCCGCCTTGAATCAAAGGAAACCACGGCCATGGCAGATCACAACCGACATATGTCATCCAGGAAGAGACTAGAATCAAATAAAATGGTGCCGAAACACCATTAACCTAGGACCTCCAGTGTACGAAGTTGCGGACTCGTCAATTACATGTTAATCCACCCTGACTTATCACTTACGCTATTAGTAATTTAGAAACGATTAGAACAAGTGTCAATTGCAAAGAATATGTCACGGAAATGTCTAAATCCGGACAATAAGGGCCAGGGTTCCTGCAGTTCAAACTGATACGATTGTTTTCTCAGTCACCGAATATTTTTGGCCGGTGTTATTGACCTGGAAAATAATTGTGATATATGCCAACGGCAGTGCATGTTGTTCTGACGATATCATCTAGAATTAAGTAACATAGTAAAAATCTAAGTATTCTAAAAGAATTCAAAGGCAAAATTGATGAGTTTGAAATTTAACATTCATCAAACCAGTACTAATAAATACCGTATTGTCTCATTTTGCTTTACTTTTCACCAAAAACAAAAACCATAATAGATTCTAGAAGAAAAGATTTTTGTTATTTTACGTAAAATAACATACGAAACTCTTCGTTAAACGTCGACTCTATGTAATTCTAATTGGAAGAAGAAATGATCTGATGGAGACACCGCACTTTGCTTTCTTTTCTCTCTGTCGAGGCCATAGTGCGCCTGCGCCAGCGACGGCCAAGTGGTCCACCGCACCGCATCGACGGCGCCTACGCGTATAAGGCAACGCAAAGGCCAGGGAAACCCACTGCCCCTCGCAACTCGCCTCAGCTGGGCGCCGCCAGGTGAGCTGAAGTGCACGGAGATAGAGGTGCTCATAATGTCATGGACCCTAGACAAACTTTCCTAAGTCCTCCATCACTTTCTTAATTCATGGTTGTTGTTTTTTTTTTAAAAAAACTTATAACATATTAAAATGAACTACAAAAACACGATTGTGTAAAGAAGAAAAATTAGTATAATAAATAAAATATATAATTTTTTTCCAGGGCCCCAGACATTTGTCGGGGTTTTCCCACACTCATGGGTGGCACTGACGGGGAACGATGTCGAGATGTCACAGAGAGAGGCGGTATTCCCCAGCAAGAAAATAGCACAGTGACCGCACAGTGAGAGACAGAGCTTATCTTCTGTCGAACACGCACGTCTCATTGTATTCTGCAATGTTTTTCAGATTAAGCCGTTTACAGCCGGAGATCTAACCAGGTCTATTTCATCGATGTTTTTGCTCCTTTCGCAGTAGCTCTACGGACAAAGTTCGGGTGGATGATGGGCATTTTCGAGGCCTTCCTTCTGTCCCCACGCCTGGTCTTTTTACGCTACTAGTAATCACATCAAGTACCTTTTGCATCTGCATACTGGAGAGTGGACTTTGCCATGGTGTAAACACCATAGACAGAGGTAATGACACACCTAGCCCCATTGCAGTGGACATGAGGTAGAGGCCATGCCAACTCTCACACTGTATTTGCGAACATGCGTTAGACTCAAGGGGTGCTCGACTAGTAGGCTGGAGCAATTTTTAGCTGACGTGCTTCACTGTGGCAGGTTTGAATCCTCTAGAACAAAAATCTTATTTTATATTGTTTTTCATTCATTAAATATTGGCTTAAGCGCATTTCAATAATTTGTGCATGATCTTCAACTTTGTGTCCCACTAATGCTAAAGTGCTTAGTGTATAATTTGACCCTAGATCACAAAAAATGAAATATTGAAAGCTTCTTTGGATCACCAGGAGAGGCGTACTTTTCAGCTAGGTTGCACTTCGTCTAGAAAATAAATCTGCCACTCCAATAGCAGAACCTATGTGCATGGCACGAGGAAAATCTCAGCTGCTGCAACCTCGGGGACTTAAGCCAGGTCTTGGCGGATGTGCTTTCCTTCAAGCAGGACTTGTTTTCAATTATAAGAAATTGTGAAGTAATAAAAGATATCGTAATGTAAATAAGAAACATTATTTCATCACGAGGAGGTTTCATGCGTTAACAACTATTTTCATTCTAAATCAGACATCGAGGCTATTTATAGTGTAAATAAATTGTACTCTATGGCATTCTAAAACTGTCACTTACTTTGACGAAAGGACACATGTAGGTAGCCTATTGAAGAAACTGTGTCTTTTCGATGGTAGACTCGATCTATCTCATGGCATGTATGAAAAAAAAATAACATACTTTTCTTCCTTGATAAAATTGACAAACATGACGGTAGTGACATATTCATAAGCTACACTAACGCAGTTTGGAAATGCAACAACAGTTTGGCCAGTCACCTGTAAATCAGTGGATGGCCCAAAACAATCTATTTGGAGTTATCCTGCCATCTGTCGAGAAAACTTAAACCTATAATACTGAAAGGGTCAAGAATTGCCCGTTTTATGACCAATTCCAATAACTGATATAGTTTATCAATCACAGTCTACATCTCTTCATGTATTTCAAGCACAAATGAAGTAAGTGTAGGATAGAGCAGGATGGGGTCGGGCGAGGGGCGGCTTGTAAGTCGATTTGGCAACAGCAAGGGCCAGATCGAGCTACGCACCGCATGTAATACAAAACGCAGACTTGTTCAGTGCCACTTTATTACTTGGGCGCCGCGCTTCAGGCGCGGGCCCCATGCCTTATGTACAACTCGAGCGCGCGACGGGGCCGTCGCCCGCTCGGGACTAGAAGGTTAGGACCAAGCAGATTTTTAGTGCGAAGGCATGGCCTACGGGCGCCCGGGCACTCAGGCCGGCCCGAGCGCCCGATGATCGCTATGGGAGTATATCCACTCTCTCAATACAACACAAAACTGTATCTTTTTTGTTGTTATTTTTTAACTACAACACACATGCAAAGAAAGGTTCCTCTTCTACATTTCAGAAAATGGTGCATGACAAATAACAAAGAAACATTTAATTGTTGGTTTTTTTACACGTCCCGACGCGTTGCTATCCACGTTCCATGTGGCGTGGAAATAACTCGCGCGCATCGAGCACAAATATTTGAACCAACCGCATTTTGTCTATTCTTCTCTCCTTCGTCGTACATGACGAAAGAAGCGCGGAGAAGTGGTGGCATTGTCAGCGACAGCGACAATAAAACCGTCGTCGCCGTCTCCGATGGACGCGGGGATTTCAGTTCCACATGGAACGCGTAATGCACTCAAAACATAACCAAACAAGTTCTCCCAACATGGCGACCGTATCTGTGTGTGTGTGTACGTGTGGCGGGCGCGCTGATCGGCCACGCCTCTTTGGAGCCCGCCTCGGATAGGACGGTTAGCGTAAGCAGCGGGGCGGGGCTGGGCGGGCCGGCACAGCCTCCCTCCCCGCTCGCCCCGCCGGGCGTCGCAATTGCACTGGACACCTCTCGAGGAGGACGAGGGGCTCTGGCGGGACGGGGGGCCCGGACGCCTCCGGGCGGTGTGGCCCCCGGGGGCGCCGGGCCCGTTAAATGCACATCGATCGATTCAGACAAGTAACAGCACGAACACACTCCTCGTCGGACTAAACACTGCGATATAAAATTACATCGTTTTCATTTAACGCTACTAACATTCGTTTGGCCAATAGTTTCTTAGTGTCAACAATGTGTATACAACGGCTACGTTTGTCAGATATATATAGAGGTTCCGGACCGCACGGAAATGCAAGACAGAAGGGTCCGCAACGTCGTTGGCATGAAGAATCACTCGAGAAGGCTGCATCTAATACATTATTTACTCCTGCTCAGTTATCCTAACTACATCTACAATCTTGAAGGCCACAGAGATTTTGAAAAATCTGAGAAATCGTGAAACTCTGGTTGCAGAACAAACACAACAGAGAAGTATTTGCACCAATACCGAAACAACAATACGTTGCATCTACTCTAACGTACATCGATACGAAGGAACGCTGTAGCCTTGCAGTCAGAGTCGGCGGGCATCGAAAGAAGGAAACGATCATGTGTATGTACGCGACCACGTCTGCGGTCGGTTGAGCATTACTTTTCGTATGCGCTTGTGCACTGTGCAAGGCACACATAATGTACAATATACACTAGAACAAACAGTACAGTTACGCGCAGATGGCTATTTGCAATAGGGGGAGAGGGTCGGGGTAGACTGTAAAATGACTGGTAAGGATGTTTTAGCGCCATTCTGAAGAAAAGCAACTCAAACAAACGCAGAGACTCATCCAAACGACACGTAGCAATATCAATTTGAGGTATTTCTCATAATAAACATTAACTCACAAAAAAAAATCAAACAGAACTCGTGCCATTACAAAATTATGCAAAATTCATGTAAAAATATTCCTCCTCAAAAACACATAAAAATGCTAATGGAATGCACTAGAAATCGTTAACAAAACAAAGCGGAAAATAAAGAGACGCCCGCGAAAAACGTACACCCTTTGCGGCGTGCCTCGAGAAAAGGGAGAGCCGCCAGAGCCCCGACGCCATAACTAAAATAATTACAATAATATTATTGATAGTAATAATAAAAAACAACAAACAAAAACAATACAATAAACAAACTGCGATGGCTGCTGGCGGAAAGGAGAGTGTATTACGGGGTGAGGGAGGGAGGTCGGAGCGTCGAGGTTAGTACAGGGGGGCCGCTCCGGCGGTTAGTCGCAGCAGCAGCAACAGCAGTAGAAGTAGAAGTAGTAGTAGGAGAAGTAGTAGTTTTGGTAGTGGTAGTTGGCGGTTAGGCGCGTCGCCCGCGCAGGGGAGCGGGCGGCGGCGAGGGCTGGCGCGGGGGCGTGGGCGCGGGCGGGTCCAGTCAGGCGGCCGCGCCGCCGCCGCCCCCGCCGTCCAACAGCAGCACCAGGCGGTCACGCCGCGCCGCCTCCGACGCCCGGAAGTCCTCCAGCAGCTGCAACACACGACACCGCACGGCCGATCAGCTCACTTGGCTCACACGAGGGCGATGAAAATAACGGCCCCTTTAAAAAATTGTTACTTTAGCTCCTGAGGAATTACTTTGCCCCAAACGATGAGATTACTGAATCATGTACCCCACGTACAAGATGAATAAGATTAGGATCGTCCAGAACTGAAGATTCATGCTTCACATTGCGTTTTCGAAAGAGATGGAAAAATGCCATTCACCATTATTAACCCCTCAATTAAAGTTTCATGTGCTAATTGCGTTTAACACATCATTTGCCTATGATGTGCAGAACGCAATAACTTGCGGAGTTGTTACATTCACGGACGTTGTTCCTTATTTTCACGGCAGAGTTTATTACCAACAGTAAATTACCAGAAGCACAAATGCTTCTATTTTCTGATACGTATTGCGATCCGCATTTGTTCCCTTAAGGGACTACTTAAGCGATATCAACAAATACTGCCGTTATAAATGAAAACAACTTTCAATATATTATTCGTTTACACATTATACAAACAGGACAGGATATATCACGTAGGTATGTCACATTGTATACTTCTCTAACCTAACGTCAGAGCTCGAGCTTGAGCACTAACATTTTTAGAAGGATTAGTTAATCCCAAAATCGATCACGGTATATTTTGTTTTTCACGTAATTTTCGAACACGGTGGAGTGTTTACACTGGTGAAAAGAAGCCTCCACAAAACGGTTATATAACACATCCAACAAAAGACTGTGTAAAGATGACAAATGTTGCCAATCTATTTTTTTCTTTCATGACGCCATATGGCTACTGTTCCAACGAGTTCTCTCGCTGGAGAGCCACGGAACGTGTGTGGTGGCTGCTACCTGCTACGCGGGCCAGGAGGGCGGAGGGTGCGAGGACAGGTCGCGGCGCCCTCGGATTAGGCCAGAGCGGCGGCGCCAGCGGGGCGCGGTGGCGGCGGAGAAGCGACGGCGAAGGCCGGACGGGGCGGGGAGGGGCGGGGCTGGCGAGGACGGGGAAGGGCAGGTGCAGCGTCGGTGGCTGAGAGCCCGTGGCAGCGCCATCGCCGCCGCTGTGCTGTTGTGATCTAATTAGGTGAAGCTCTTAGCGCCGCAGGAAAGGGTCTGCAGCGGCGCGGCGTCCAACCGCGGCGTTAAACACGGCCGCGGCGCGGTGGGTGCGCGGTCGGTGGCGGCGAGCGGCGGCCCGCGGCGGGGCGTGGGTTGGGCGAGACAGCGGGCCGAGAGAGGTCGGACGCACGTAACAGAGAGTTGCGCGCCAGGCGTTCGCCTCCGGGAGTTACGGGACACGCGCGCGACGCTCGGCACACAGCGGGCGGCCGAGCGCCCGAGCCACGGCGCGCCATAACCGCCAACGCCAGCTGAAGAACCGTCCCGAGAACACCGTTGCCATCGGGGCCGGGCTCGAAGAGCGTGAACTCGAAAAACACTACTTTTCGGAAGGTGTCGTATTTCCAATTTTCTCTTGAGTTCTTCTTTTTTCTCTTATTGTTGGGTTCAAACTTCCGTCATTCCATCTCACATATTTGAATAACACCTATGGCGTTTGTATCTATGTATAATTTGTGTTCTGAATAAGGCCAACAAACAGAAATCAAGATTATTTTTTAAACTTATTCACTTACTTCCTCAAGCTAAGGAATTATTTCTCCTTTCAATGATTTTTGGCACCGTCACACATGGAAGGGGTTTCCGAATTGTGTACACGTACCGTTTGAAGTATCTGGAAGATTTTTAGGGGGAACTTGATCAATACCTTCTAATAACGTAACTTTTCTGACGTGAAAGTGTCACTGACGAACAGTAAGTTGTACTAATATCGCGACTTCCTGCAAATGGCAAATGAGTGGTTTGGTACAGGCGTTGCTTTGTTAATAGGAACTCTCCATACTAAAACGTTCTGAATTATTCTTTTAAGAAGACATACAATTTTGTATATTATAGTGGATCAGTTTAAAGTTTCAAAATGTGCAGACTTCATGATGTTGCGCAGTTTAAAATAATGACACTGAGCAGAGCAGATTGGAAAAGAGCAAGAATCTTTCTCCTTGTAAAGGTGAAATTATTAACTCTTCTGGTAGAAGGTAGCATGAACAAATGGCAGCTTTTGTTCTTCAGAGCTAAATTTACAAGTTTTATGATGACTTAATACGTCAAATATCCATTATAAGAAAAAGTGTTGCAATGAGAGAAAACGAAACATCAATAAAAGAGAGTGCGATTATGAGGGAGGAAACATAAGCTCTCCCCTCGAGGCATTAAAAAGCTTGAAAGTTGAGCTCTGAAAATCTAGCTTTATGAAGATGGTTGAACATGAAACACGTATTCCTTCAGGAAGTGTAAGAATAAATTGACTGTGACGAGGACATAAAATCACGACGCCCTAGAAAAAAACCAACTTACACCTGCAATGGCAAAATAACGCGTCGAATAGGCACGGGGCCTGAAACACTGGATGTGTGATGTTGGGAAGAAAATCTCTTTAGTGACTAACGTTCCAAATACGGCGAGGCGATCAGATTGAAATGTGTACAACAAACTGTTCAGCATCAAACATGGCTCGGTGTGGGGCGTTATGTCTTCCCGTGTCTTCGGAGACTGAATCATAGAACGATAAAACAAGACCAAAACTTAAAACTCATTAAGAAAAACTACAGACACAAACGAAAACGTGAGGTAAAGATGTATTTACGCATAATGACCACTCTGCTGTTAAACTAAATAAGAAAATCATCATGGATAAAGATATTAGCGTTCTTTCATTCGGTAGCGTCCGCTCTCTAAGGATCTTAGCGTGACGCCCTCCCCAGAAATATCACATACGGGGAAAGAACACATTAGAGTTTCAGTAAACCGTTTGTTTTTATTTGTGCACACGTCAGGCGAAGTTTTGAGAACGAATTTAATTCCAAGTCCCGAATAAGCGAATAATGTTTTTGGAAAGGACCGCATAGCAGACTACTGTGTCGCTGTTCCAAGTTGGCGTATGCTAGGCAAGGCGGCAATGCAGCAATGCATGAACATTGCAGCATGACGAAGTGTGAAAGTACTGGGAGTTGGGAGGGGCAGCATATTGGTTTACGACTTTCGATCGGCACAGTCGGCGCCAATTAGATAAGCTAAAAATATCGACCCGTTCATCTGATTTTATGCATTACCGTTTTCTTAGCTTCAAATATTGCTAAAAAACTATTTGACTATTTTTAACAAAACATTTTTTTCTGCGAATAACTGCATCTTCCAATATCAACGTAAATACTTTCTCAGACAAAGATTAAAATCCCGATGTTTGTTAATGGTACACGATATGATATAGTTTCCCATAGTTCAATAAATATTGTGCGACCCAAAATGCACGTAATAGTTAGGCCACACGCCGCCCCTTCTATTTTGCAACCCATAGGTCCCAGTCCTCCAGAAATCTTGTAGCTTACTGAAAGATAAGCTGGGAAAGAACATTTTAACTGTCAGTTGAGTGAGGAAATACATTATGGTACACAAGCGTCGATTTGAAGCACAAGAGCATTAAACTTTTGAAAATCATGCAATGAGGCTGAAGGCCTAGATAAAGACTTCCAGTACAACATTCGCTCATGAGCGATGGTGAAACACCCATGTCGAGAAGACAATTATCACCAAAACGTCATGAGAACTACTGACGATGTCCCTTGTAGGGTCTACAAATATCACATGCTACCAAGGTAATGAATATGTCCTAATGACAAGATTGTCCTAGTACCAGTAAGGCGATTGCAGAATAGAATGGAGACTGATGGAGGGATAGGACTTGCTGCCCCTCTTTAGTGACAACTGCCACTTTGGCGCAAGCCTGCTTCGAGAGAGGATGTTTTGGCCAGGAGGGCGTGCGAGCGGTGCACTGCGCGTACCGGCACATCGGGAGTGACGCGGAGCGAGAGGGCGGGAAGGGCGGGGCGGGGAGGCGGGCGAGGGGCGGTTACAGGAGAGCGGGGCGGGGCGGGGCGGGGCGGCCCCCGAAAGTGCGACGCTCCGCGGGCCAAGAGCCCCGTCGCGCCGGGGAGAAGAGCAGGAGGCGCAACGGCGGCGATGCACATCACCGCTTCGCGCGCTAGGGCAGGGCGTGGTGTGGCGTCGCGTCGCCCTCATGCCTCCCGCAAACGACGCGGCGCGACGGCACCACCTGGCGGGGAAGCCTCTTTTCCCAAGAGGCCTCTTGCCGGAGAATGAAAAAAACCCTCAGGCGCAAAATTTCCACAACAAAATCATCCCCTCCGTTAAGAAAGAATGAAGTAGTACCTCAGCAACGGAATTACCAAAGTTAGGCAATACGATTTTTTACTTCCTCCTATACTACTTACGTTGTACAGAGAAAATATTGTAATGCTGCAACAAAAAACGGTGAGTTTTCGGA